TCCACTTTTGTATCATTAGCTTCGATTTTCTTCTCTCTGACTTAATTCTTTTGGTGAGCTCCTCGAGCATTTTCATTATTGCAGGATCAGTCCCCGATTCATTACCATTCGACCTCTCTGGCACTGGCTCGGTACGACGAGTGATTTCTGGCTCGACCTAACTCTGAGTTCTATGTTAATTTTGTAACTAAGCAATAGCGGCCTGCTGAGCCTGTAGCATCTCGAGTATCACTTGGAGACTAACTCCTCCGTCTCCTCTGCCCTGTGTACCTTGGCCACCAGATTGGTCTTCTCTACGTACACTCCCTTCGGGGACCGCGCCTAGGTCCTCATTTAAAGCAGCGTGCGAACTGACATCGACTGGATTGGCAACCGGTTCTCCCCCGAGATTAGCTTGTGGCACCCCGGCTCCTGGAGAAATTACATTGTCGTTTTCCCCATGAAACCCGAGACCACCTTTACCATGTGTGGGTGCATTTTGTAAGTTTGACATATTTTATCCTGAGAGCAAAGATACTTGACAAGAACAAGCGTAAAATAATGTGTGTTATCAGAATCAGCACCGAACAATCACTGTTATCTTTAGCCCCACTCTGGGCGCCAAACTGTTTACCCTCATATTCGGATAGCAATTAAACTTATATTGTGGTTTTAAGGATATGTGATTTTGTCCAATACCAATTGATAAGAAAGAAAATACATGTATAACTTAGAGAATAAAATAAATCAAACCAGTATGCTAGCCAGGTCTCGACCTTGATTCGAGGTAGTCTCGAGGTGGAACAATAAAAACAGTAAAAGTTAAAGCAACTCTGATGAACCAGTAAGTGAAATAGCAGGAAAGTAACGAATGTATATATTCTTATCAGTGAATCATGATGCTTACAAATAAATAGGATCTCTCTTTATATAATAGAGGAGTCCTAAATAAGGTACACTTCTAATTATAGTAGGAAACCATATTAACATCTAATTAACCGCCGTGGATTGACCCATTTCGAGATTCACGCCACGATCCTCCAGATATCTCGCCTTTCCCATTATCAAGCTATACCGATGTCATTCGGAGTCTGTCTCTCTCTGGCCGCGATTGACGTCGACCTTGGTCCGAAAAGAGGCTTCGATTCCGAGCTCGACGTCCTAGCTCCTTAACGCGACATCCCCACCTCGACCAAAGAATAAAATCGGGTAGCTCCGATTTCTACCGTATACACAAATCAATATATATAGAGAGACGGAGCCGGAATTTTAATTTTATGAGTTCTAAATTTTAACGATAATTTTAAGTGTTAGTAACTGAATTTTAAATTTAGTATTTGTACATGTTCAATAATTTTTTAAGTAAAAATATATTGTTTGAGTAAAATTTATTGGGTTTGGAACCCATTTCGTGACTTCTAGCTCCACCCCTAGCCCCTGGGTATATTTATTTACTTACATAGTTTTGTATATAAATACAGTTGATATATAGCTCTTGAGCTAATAAAGCTGAAAAAACAATGCAACTGCTTTAACTTCAGCTCAAGTAACTAACTTCCTAACGAAGTTTGTAACCGCCCCTAACTACTCAACTTACCATTCACTGCTATTAAAACTGAATTTAAGCTTGCAGCAATTCGAATAATTTACCCAGATAGTTAATATAGTATATAGTACTATTAAACACAAAATAGTTCATATATTAATATTTTGCCTCCAAAAATAACTACAATTTCCTTCTCTCTAGTTCAGTTATATAACTCAAACAAGTAAAGATCTTTACGCATTTTTCAACATTGAAAAAGAAAATGAAGAGGATAAGCAGAGGAAAGAAGTTTACCCAGTAAAAATGGTACGGATTATGAGATTTTCATGCATTTTCGCTGTTGCAATGTTAATCATCATCTTTTCACCATTTCAATCATCTCAGTTCTCGTATCATAAAGCTTCCGTGTTCCGCAATGCACCTGATTGCAGCTTTAGTACTGATAGAACAAAATTTGAGAAAATTGAATATTCAAAATTTGTTCATGTAGCGATGACTCTTGATAATCAGTATCTACGTGGATCAATTGCAGCCGTTCATTCAATTCTACGCCATTGTAGATGTCCAGAGAATGTATTTTTCCACTTTTTAGTCTCAGATACGAATCTCAAAACTGCAATTCAGTACATTTTTCCTGAATTGAAATTCAATGTATATTACTTTGATTCGAAAAGAGTAAAAACCTTGATTTCAACTTCCGTACGAGAAGCACTTAAACATCCTCTCAATTATGCGAGAAATTACTTAGCTGACCTTCTAGAACCTTCGATTCACAGAGTTATATACTTAGATTCGGATATAATTGTAATTGATGATATTTTCAAGCTGTGGAGCACAAACTTGAGGGAAAAGGCAATCGGAGCGCCGGAATATTGTCACGCTAACTTCACGACGTATTTCACGGCGAGGTTCTGGTCGGACGGGAGATTTTCCAGCGTATTCGCCGGACGGAAAAGGAAGCCGTGTTACTTTGATACAGGTGTTATGGTTATGGATTTAGTGAAATGGAGGCGGGTCGGGTACACGAAACGGATCGAGAAATGGATGGATATCCAGAAGACGAATCGGGTCTATGAGCTCGGATCTTTGCCGCCGTTTCTACTGGTTTTTGCTGGTGACGTGGCGCATGTTGACCATAGATGGAACCAGCACGGTTTGGGCGGTGATAATGTGAAGGGAAGCTGCCGGAAACCGTACCCTGGTCCGACGAGTCTGCTTCATTGGAGCGGGTCGGGTAAGCCGTGGGTCAGGTTCGACTCGAAGAATGCTTGTGCTATTGATTTTGTATGGGCATCCTATGATTTGTATAAACATGAGACGTGAATATGGACAGAATTGTAAAAATCATATGCTTGAAATAAAAGAAAAATATTGGCAATGTTTGAGTTCAATTTTATCGTGGTGACATTTGTACTTGTTCAGAAGGTATATTTAGGGGATTTTTACGTACCTATACATTATTGGAAACTTTATTACCCTTCCTACTCAAGTTTCAATTTAATTACCTTCTATATACAAATTTACCAATTATATACACTTTAGGAATTAAATAAGTATCCCTTTATATTAGAAATCAATTATTTCTCATCCTTATTCTCTCTCTCATGTGCGCGCTCTCTCTCTCTCTCTCCTGTGCTCTCTCTCTATCTCTCAATCCCTAATTTCAGTAATGCAGAGCAAAGGAAAAGAGAGCAGCAATTCCACCATTGACAGCCATTATACACTTATTTAGTGGGCGTCTGGACATAAGAATTGTAAATTCTGAAAAAAAGTGAAATTTTTTTTCAAGTGAAAATGGTATTTAAAAATTAGAGTTGCGTTTGGACATAAATATAATTTTGAGTTGTTTTTGAATTCTTGTGAGTGATCTGAGTGAATTTTGAAAAACAGTTTTTTGGAGTTTTTCAAATTTTCAAAAAATTCCAAAATTCATGTGAAGATTAAATTTTATGGCCAAACACTAATTTGAAAAAAGTGAAAAAAATTTTACGGCTAAACAGGCTCTTGGTTACTTCACAACTTGCAACACGCATAACTTTTGCAACGCTTATTTGGTGAATTGAGCCGATTAATTTGGATTTATATGGCGTAAGATCCATTTAAAAGGGAAGCGCGCTTAAACCAAAAATTTCTAATTAAGAACGAAGGGTTCCCTTTCTCATCTCTTGTACTACTAATAAATCTATTTTAAGCCAAGTGTCTTCTTTATAAGGGCAAGACACTATTTCAACTTTCAAGTATTCAATTTTAAAGCTGATTAATAGTCTGGTTTTCATTTTTGTTTCAACTTCCAAATAGTTTAAACTGAGTGAAAAACTTTTTATATTTGCTTCCTGATCTGATTCTTCCTTGTAGGGAGTTCATAATCCAAATACAATCTTTGGGTGCTTATATCTTTATGTGTTAGTTAATCTAAGCTCCTCCAAAGTAGGAGCGGAGCTACAATAGACGAAGGATAGTTAATTGAATACCTTTTTACTTAAAAATTAAATGTATAAGTTAAATGATAGTTTTTTACATATATTTTAAGTCATAAAAACTCTAGTGAAATTCCTGATTTCGCCTAGCTCCCTCGGCCAAAGGAAAAGACTTTCCCTAATTACTCTTAAGTTTCTTGTGGTATCGTACTATAAGCCAGTAGAGAATTTGTGTAAAATTACTCTCTTTTAAAAGGAGAAGAAGTAACAGAAATGATGTCACTTTAAGGTTTTAAACTTTTTACATGCCGGATACGTCTATACCACTTGCGGAAGGAATCTCTTGCAGAACATTTCCCTTTCACAAAACCTAATTGTTGGCTATAGTGGTGGGCGTCAGGCAGTTCGGTTTGGATTATAAAAATTTCACTTTGATTTTCCTGAAATTACAAATCAAATCAAACTAAATAAGATCGGTTTGATTTCATTTTTAGAATTTGATTCTAATTAATCTTAATGGTTATTTCCAATTTACTATAAGACCCTATAAGTTGAGCCATTAATCAACAGTTAAATTAATACTATTGATAGCAAAGGATTGCGAAGTACAGATTCCATATTCCAGATTTTGATGGAATTATAATTATAGGATAGATCAAGGTAGGCATTGGAAAAGGGATTTAAACGTCATGGCAATTGCACTCAGATAAAGATTGAGTTATGCGTCAAATCGGAGCAATAAAGACTGAGTTATGAAATCAGCAAACGCAGCATGACTGAGTATAGATCTTAAATCAAAACAGTGAGTGGATAATAAAAAAAAAAGGCCCCTAAGGGTCCAAACAGCTTTGGCACAAGGCCCAAATATGGCATTCAGCCCAATTTATAGAAAGTTTTTCTAAATCACATAAGTATCATATAATTTCAGTCTAATACGCAACTTTATAGTTGCTACGAGACGGACCAAGTCACAATCCCCAACGGTGCATGCCAACACGCCCGTCACCTAGCATGTGCGTCACCTCAAAGTAGTAAAAAAATGTAAAATCCGGGATTTCATACCCTCAGGACTAGATTTACAATCATTACTTACCTCAAACCGGTCAAATCCTTATTTCGCGACGCCCTTGCATCTGGAGTCGGCCCCCAAACGCCCCGAATCTAACCAAAAGCAATAAAACGCAATCAATATAGGCCAAGGGACCAATTCCATACGAAAAACTATCAATTTAGACCAAAACCCTGAAATTCACCCAAACCCGGTCCCCCAGGCCCACGTCTCGGAATCCGACAAAAATCACAAAACTAGAAACTCCTTTCACTAACAAGTCTATCCATACCAAATTCATCAAAATCCGACATCAAATGGTCCCTCAAATCCTCAAATTAAACTCTCCAATTTCCAAGCCCTAACCCCTCAATTTCATCCCTAAATTCTACCAGTTTCATGCTTAAACAACTGAAAATTACCATAATCACAAGTATTAAGCTCAAGTAACTTACATCAATGAGTATCCACTTGATTCCCTCTTTAAAACCCTCCAAAATGCTCCAAGTCCGAATGAAAATGGCGGAAAATAACACAAATTTTGCGAAGGGTTCAATATATACCTTCTGCACAGGTATTTCCGCACCTGCAGCCCTATGCTCGCACCTGCGCAACCGCTTCTGCGGTCTAGACACTCGCACCTGCGGTTTTCACTTAACCGCCTAGAACCGCTTCTGCGGTCAACTATCCGCACCTGCGGTCTCGCAGGTGCGCTCCACCTTCCGCACCTGTGGTCTTGCCTCAGCTTCCCAATTCTCCGCATCTGCGGTCCAATCTTGCTTCTGCGAATCTCGCACTTGCGGTCCACACTCCGCAGGTGCGGTTAAGCCACCTGAAGGAAATCTTCAGCATTTCCTCAAATCCCATCCTTGATCCGTCAACCACCCGAAATCAACCCGAGGCTCTCGGGACCTCTACCAAACATACCAACAAGTCACATATCAATATTCAAACTTAGTCGAACCTTCGGAACACTCAAAACAATATCAAAACACTAAATCACCCTCAGATTCAAGCCTAAGAACTTCTAAACTTCCGAATTCCGCAAACGATGCCGAAACCTATCAAACCTCGTCCGAATAACCTGATTTTGCACACACGTCACAAATGACACTACGGACCTACTCCAATTTCCCGAATTCCATTCCGACCCCGATAACAAAATTTTCACTACCGACCGAGAATCGCCAAATTTCTAATTTCGCCAATTCAACCCCAATTCTACCATGGACCTCCAAATCACATTTGGGACGCGCTTCCAAGTCCAAAATCATCTAATGAAGCTAACTGAATCATCAGAAATCACATCAGAGATCGTTTACACATAAGTCAACATCTGGTTGACTTTTCCAACTTAAACCTCTAAATAGGAGACTAAGTGTCTCATTTCACACCAAAATCACTCTGGCCCCGAACCAACCAACACGATACCGTGAAATACAGTTGAGGAACACATAAAGAAGCAGAAATGGGGGAAACGAGGCTATAACTCATGAAACGACCGGCCCTGCTTCTCCTCAAAAACATTATTTTGTACTTCTAAAAGTTTGGCCAAACACTTCAACTTTGAAAAAAAAAAAAACTTTTTTTTTCTATTCAAAAAATGCTTTTAGCTCGGAGAAACTGGCCAAATATGCTATAAATATTTAAGGTTCAAATTCTTGAAAATAAGTAGAGCGCATTTTGAGACTTCCTAACTAGAATCCGAATTAGTCGGACACCAAAATATAAGATACCAAAAGAGAAGTATTTATTGATTCTTACATAATAATCCCACATTTTCTTGTCGAAATAATTATGGTTGGCACATAATCTCAGTGCCAAATTTTGTAGCAGCAGCAGCAGAAGCATCGCGATTAACCAACTGTCCCTGTGCAATAACCATAGATCTATAAATCTCCACAATCATCTTCTCATCATACTCTTTGAATTGCCTCATTCCGAATCCACTAACTCCATAATCACCTGTTAATCCACCAAATCCACCGCTGCTCATAACCCTTGAATTAGCAATCTTTAACATCATGTTCACATACGCATCACGCATATTCACAAGCAATTTCTTCAGCGAAAATCGTTTCAGTTTCAGATTCAGTTTCAGCCTTGGCCTCAGATTTATCTTCCAGAACCTTCTCTTCTTCTCTGTGGATAAATATTCGACCCGGTTCTTCCTTCTCCGACCCGCTCCGCTTAGCCTCTCGTACCCTTTCCTCTTCCTCCTCCAGTAACCCTTTAATCCACTGTATAAATTCTTTGATACTGATAATCCCTCCATTTTTCTTCTCCCTCTTTTTTTGTTGTTTTTTTTTTTGGATAGAAAATGGGATTTACTGAATGCGTACAGCAAAAGAGTATTGGATTTTGGTTTATAATAAAGGGGAGTTGGAAGGTAGTGAGGAGAAAAATGGGGAATCTTTAATTGTAGGGATAGGCATTTGGTTTGGCTGTTACCTGTATTTTTCACGAGACATTTATTGTTTTGTCTTCTATGAGAAGATAGTGACTGTCACCATAATTCGATTGTTACTTTAACTAAGGTTCATTATGGTCCTTAATGATAATCCTAGTTAGATTACAATTGTTTCATGGATTTAAATTATACTTGTTGACAAATTAAGAAAATTATTAATACTTCCTGTTTATATTATTAGTCTTTTAATGCGTTTATACTCTCCATAATGAAAAATATTCGATAGTTATAATCATCAAAATATTTGTATACTACTCTTTTCGTTTATTTTTGTTGGGTTTAAGCTTGAGTAGCTTAAAATAAAGGATGAATGTAAAATGGAGGGAAAATGAAATATTTGCATTTTCATCCTTGGCAAGGGACATTGTCCCATATAGGAGGAAGAAAAGACTTTTGATGGGTATATATACATTGCTCTTCTTCTAGCTCTTAAAGAGTTAAGAAGAAGACAAGCCTCGCGCCGTCGTCGTCGCTTGCTCGGCTTCGGCTTCGGATTTGGTCAACGATTGATTGATTAATCTTGTTGGACAAAATTTCTTTAATTATTTAATAAAATATTAATTAAATTAGCCAAATATCCAACCCGAACCGAATCCGTGCACGACCCGATTCACTTTCTTCCCGAAATTTTATTTAAATTTTCCTCCCGTTTTGAAGTGACTGTTCTGAAGAGTTGTGAACTTTCAGAAACAGTACTTCCATTGGCTATAAATTCCGTTTGATTCCTCAGATTTTTCCTTATGAAATTTTCTGATCTTCTTCTTATTCTGCACAAATCTATTCCAGTGTGATTTACAACCATTAAATGGTTCGCAGTTCATCAGAGTTTTCGGTACCAATACGCTGGTGAATTAAGTCGTTCTATCCTGGAAGGATAATTGTAATACGGATTGGATAGCAATTTTTACTTGTCCATAATAGACTTTACACCCCCTTTATGAAATAGTAAATAAAGTACATATTTTAGCATAGTACCCCTAATAATGTACGCATTTCAAAAAGTGAGAAATAATTTAGGAAATAAATTTTTGATGTAAAGGTAAAATAGGGGGATATGTATCTCTAGATTTGCTAAAATGAACAAATAAAAAACAAAAACTTTTTAAGTATAGTGGACGATTAATAAATATTGTATAGTTAATGAATGTTCCACTAATTGGACATGGGTGAAAAAAAAGAACTAAAAATATCCTAAAATATCAAATATTTTTGAATAAATTTAATTTATCAAAATAATTAGCATTTGGCACCGGAGTGAGATACATTGATACAATTTGACTAGTTGTAACATGTTACATTTTCTAAGAGTTCAAAAAACCAATAGCTCTTCTTCCAATATCCTAAACTTGCTCTATAGAAAGTCATCTTATTATAGATAGGCAAAATACAATATTGGCAGGTCGCTCAAATTAATTGTATTTGTTAGTTGAAAAGTATATATATATATATATATATATATATATATATATATATATATATATATATATATATATATATATATAGAGAGAGAGAGAGAGAGAGAGAGTAGAAATTCTATCGGCTATTTTTCTTGGAACAGTTAAAGATATATATATTTATCTACTAGTTTTAGTGTACGTGTGTTGCACGTGTCTGTAGTGTCTATCAATTAAAAATACATACATTAACGTTAAAATAAAATACAATATTTGTTTAAATGATAAAAATAATTTTTTGCATAGTAATTATATTAAATGCCTTTTGAATATGTACAGATAATGAATTTAGTTAAATTAGTTATACATTATTATGTAATTATACATATCTTATAATATAATTTCAAATATGCTAAATTGTATCTCACCTAATATCTCTTTATGAATACAATTTGGCTTCTAGTAATTCGTCCTTATTTCTTTAAATTTGCACTTAACCAATTTAATTCGTAATACTATAATTAAATTTTATTTTATATTCTAATTTCTTGTATCGCCGATGGTCTTTTTCTGAAAAATAATTTATGTACTCTAAGATCTGTTTAAACTTGAAAAATATTTTTACCTTGATGAATTTGGAAAGGAATAAAATTTGATTATTTTTCTAGTTAGTTAATCAAATCCAGGGAAAAAAGGCCAATTCAAATACTTAATTATCTTTTAATCAATAATAAAATTAATTTATTTTGAGGATTTAAACTACTAATATTAGCTCATATAATAAAATAAATATTTAATTATGACTATAATTTTATCCACAAAATTCTTTTGTCAAATGATAATGAATCGGACTTTTGCACTTTATGTTTGTCATTGCGTTAGTAAATGACTTTTGTCAGTCACTTTACTCGCTCTTTCTCTTGCTATTATGAAATATTTCGTAATTATTTTTTCTACTAATGTTTTAAAATCTATACTAATATTTATATTTAAGCAACTTATTGATCGAAGAATAAAACTAATAGCCAATGGATCAATCGCATAGAATACTCATAGCATTTATAGGTTATATTTTCATTTGAATAAAGGACAAAGCAAATTACTTCCTCTATTTTATTTTATTTTTTTACATCATAATTGTTCACCTAATATTTAGCATGATTATATAATTATTTGGGATAAAAACGTTCAATTGTTAAAATTCATATATAAGGTAAAAATATAAATATTTTGTGTTATTTAGTTATAGTTTAATACATTCATATAAGATAAAACTTTAATAATTTTAAAGTCCTAGATATAAGGACCTCTTACTTAATTCAAATAAGGAAAGATATAATAAGTAATAGATCTTATTTAATTTCAAACTCCTAAATATTAGCTAGAAGATAATCAAATGACTATTTTGTCTAGTGTGAACTCTATTTTAAAGGGGTAAAAAAGGCGAACGACATTTCGTTAAGGACCTTCGTGCTTTTAATATAGTATATAGAAGATTATATAATTTTGTCGGTGACTTGCAAGTAGGTAGATCAGAATAATGTGATTTGCAACTAAATATTTCAACGACATATCTTTATCTTGAAGCATAGATAAAATATTAAATGTTGGGTCTTACTTTTGATTCCTTTAATTAATTTCTGAATCTCTCCCTAACTACTTCTGTGGTCACCAATTGAAAAAACATTTATTGTGCAATTGAACTCTTCAAGTTTATCATCAACGTATTATATATACATTTTATTTGTGAGGTTTATTTAGATTAGAAGCACAAAATACGCTTCATCTTGTATGACTCTTCTTTTGTCTTATCAGTTATTATTGTTATAGCGTGTAACTATCTCATTTAAAAGCTTAAGCAGTTAGAAAGAGTACATTTTAATTTACTTAATTATGTTTTCAACAGCTACATTGACGCCCTTGTACCCGCAACTGATGTTTATTTCACTTTCTTGAGTTTTAGTATGGCTTTGGATTTTAGGACCTTTGAATTAAAATATTCAAATCTAGATAATAGTACATAAAATTTTTGACAACAAGATCTAAGATAATGTAATACAATCACATGATTGACATCTCGTTAACTTAAAATATTTTTTCTCATTATAAATAAATATTACTAACAAATGTTTCATGTGAAGCTAGAGGCATTATGTTTTGAAAGAATTCTATAGCTATGAACTTCAATTACGAAAATAAGAAAGGCAACACTGCCATTTTGCATTTTTAATTTCTATTTTATAAGTCAACAAATAAAAATTTTTCTCATAAATTCCCATTTACCTTGGATATGAGACTGTACTAACTTATCTTATGTTTTAAGTTCTATCTTATAATAAGTCATGCACGCAAGAAGTAAACTTTCTTTTTTATGAATTGCACAAATTTGAAAATTAAAATAGTTACTACAAAGTCTTGTAAAATGTAATACAGAGTACCTGAAAATAGGGCGGAAGGACGTTAGGGTATGAATTTGATGCCGTCAATGTGGTTTTCTTCTTTGCAAGAGTCTTTTGTTAAGTATCTTTTTTCAGTGTGGTCCTTTTTTTTTTTGGATGAGGAAAGTGATTTGTTGCAGTTACTTACTCTTAAAAATGGAAGGTTTAAATTCAAAAAAAAAAAATTTGGCGGAGTGGACATAGAAGGAATGGGAGGAAAATATGCAGTGATTCGGAGGCCTACTAATGTCATGATCCGGAATTCCCACTTTCGGGATCGTGATGGCGCCTAACATTTCACTTGCTAGGCAAGTCACGTTAGAGGATTCTTAAGTCAACTTCAATCAATTTCAACAACAGAAACAATTAAGCTAAACAGAAGCTAAAACTGATTTGCGGAATAACATATAACCCATAATATTTGATACATTTAGGATCTGGAGTCACAACTCACGAGCTACTACGATTTACTACCAATAGAGTCTGAAAGAAAATACATTGTTCTAAAAGAAAAGAAACATTAAAATAATAAGACTAGGAAGAGACTCCAGGGTCTGCGGACACCAGCAAATCTACCTTGGGTCTCCTATGTCACGACCCCAAATACCCCGGTCGTGATGGCGCCTATCACAGTACTAGGCAAGCCAAACCAACATTTCCAACATCGAATAAAATCATTTTCTAAAAGCAATTAAGTCTCAAATTCTTCTTATGAAATATATAAACTATCAGAAATAAGCGGAAAACCCGTACAAAATATTCTAACACAGCCCGAATCCGGTGTCACTAGTCATGAGCCTCTAAGTACAACCCAACAATGTCTGAATAATACATAATAAGTCTAAACATAACAAAATACTAAGATAGGAAGGAGGAAGGCAGGGCTGCGAACGCCGTGCAACTACCTTGCGACCTCCGGATACGACTCTGAGAGTGCTAGAAGCTCTCACTCTGATGCTCGAGCACCTGGATCTGCACACAAGGTGCAGGGAGTAACGTGAGTACGCCAAATCAGTAAGTAACTAAATCAAATATAGTCTGAGTGCAGTGACGAGCATTTAAAAATCATATATAAGAAATTTCAACAGAAATATCAAGTCAAATCTGCAGTTCAACAATCAGCAATCTCATAAAACTCCTGTTTCAATTGAAATCCTTT